GTTCTTAATACATAGTTTTCATATAGCATGAAATTCATTTACATATTCTATGTAATACTAATGAAATATGATCTCCCTCTTAGAGAAGTGATTCATTTTATTAATAATGTATCCACTTTTCAAAATAGATTACTCATATCATCCACTCAAAGACTTGATGTTATAAACACCAAACATTAGAGTCCTAGGAAAGTAACTGAAGCTGTTGTGTGTTATTGACCTAATTATTCAGCATCAAATGATCTAAGTGAAGTCTTTGGAAGGAAAGAGAGGAGATGGAATGGACGTGAAGAGCTGAGTGCACACTAGATCGAGTGTTTCCGCATTGCTAACTCCCAGCAGTGTTTTTCAAAGACTTTTCTTTCCTTAAAGTGTTTTTTTGTTTGTTTTGGTTTTAATTTTTTTAAGATTTTAAGAGAAATGTAGAATTAAGTCATGGATTTGGACATTTTTACTGAAGTACTTGTCCTCATATGACAAAATTTAAGATACAATACTTTGGGAAAATTTTAATAAAATAAAAACAAAAAAAAGTGCAGCTCTCTAGTCAGTGACTTGCAAATGCTTACCCTGTCAACCAGGGAGCTCACTCCCAGGGTGAGGAGTGTCCAGGCCCCTGTGATGTCTGCTCCTTAGCCAGTACCTATTCCTGAGTTGGAAAGAGGGTTGGGTTAAATGAATCCAAGTTCCTCTCTAACATAGAGTCAATGAGCCTACAATCTGAAAAGACTAAAAACCAATGCAAATTCCTAATTTCTAAGATCTTTTGATTCCTACCTATACAGTCACTTTTGACTATATTATAGAAACAAAATGTTCTCCTTTTTGGTTTTTGGCTTATAAACAGTAGAAATCTATTTCTCACAGTCTGGAGGATGGAAGTCTAAGATCAGGGTGCCATCATGGTCAGGTTTGGTTCTGGTGAGAGCCCTCTTCTGGGTTGCAGACTATAGACTTCTTATATCCTCACATGGCCAAGAATTTGTTCTTGAACATTTTAGAAGTAAGACATAAACGTGTTCTTTTTCAATCAAATTAAGCCAAGCTCTAAGCTCCTAGCCTAACCTAAAACATAAGCAATTTAATTTCAGTAGTTTTTCAGTGTACTACTATCTGTGGTCATACAGAAATCCAAAGTCATCACAGGGGCCTAGAAAGGAGGAAATAGCTTCATCTTCAGCCTACTGTGGTCTCTGCTGACATCCCTACAGTCTGAGTGACACAACTGAAGTCAGGTGGCTCCATTTCCCTCCAAGGGTCTTGGGCAAGGGCTGCCAGAGCCTCCACTCTTCACATTCAGGTTCACCAACAGCTAAATACCAGTCCCGGGCCCCACTCCATTTGTGGGGAAGCCAGCCATTTCCCACTCAAGTGGACTAATAGATCTTTAACAAATTCCCCAGCTCTGTCTCCACCTGACATCGACACTCCAACACCAGGAAGGTTATTTTTACCTTTAAGACTCCTTGAAGAGCCCTAAAAAACAAACAACCAAAAAAATGTTATATCTTTCCTGAAGGATAGGGGGGTTATGGTGGGGAGTTGAGGGTTAGGTGATATGTTGATGGGTGACATAAGTCAAACTAACAGAAAGTCCATATGGATCTCTCTTTCCCAGAATGAAGACAGGGAAATAATATGCTTTCTTTCTCTTCTAGTTGGTCCATGGTAGCAAAAAAACCCAAAAAACAAAAACCACTAAACAGTGTTTTTATTCATTATGCCCTATTACTCCTCTATGGGTAATCACCATGACCAGGTCACAGGTCTATTCATTCAGCATGTACTGAGTTCTGAGATGCACAGCACTGTGCTGGGCTTTGAGGGTGCAGCAGAAAGCAAGACATATACACATAGCACAGTCGTCGCCCGGTATCCATGGGGGATTTGTTCCAGGACCCCCCCACAGATACCAAAATCCATGGATGCTCAAGTCCCTGATATAAAATGGTATAGTATTTGAATACAACCCTTGCACACCCTCCCTCCTATAATTTAAATCTCCTCTAATATAATACCTAGTACAATGTAAATGTTATGTAAATAGTTGTTATACCATATTGTTTAGAGAATAATGATAAGAAAAAAGTCCATACATGTTCAGTACAGACACATTTTCCCCCCACACACATATTTTCATCCATGGTTGCTTGAATCCAGAGATGTGGGACCCACGGGTACAAAGTGCAGAGTATATTTTGCCTTCATCAAGATTATAGTCCAGTGGGTGTGTCAGGAAGTAAAGAAGGAGAACAAATCATTGTAAATTGTGATAAGTGCCTTGATGCGATAGTACAAGTGGGAGGAACAAGTTTAGACAGTATTCAAAGAAGGCCACCAGGAGGTGGTTTTTAAGCAACATCATGAAGACTGAGGAGTTAGCCACATAGCAACTGGCAGGTAACTTTCCAGGGAGTGGCAGCAGGTAACAGCAGGCTCCAAAGAGGGAAAGGATTTGGCTGGTTTGAGAGACAGAGAGCAGGTCAGCATAGCTTGAGCCTGGTGAGGAATTGAAAGAGAAATGTACCATGAGGAGGCTGGGAAGGTAGGCTGGAGCCATCAGGACACTGGAGGTTATGGAGAGGAGTATGAATTTCCTTCAAGCCCCCGGAAGATTTTAAGTAAGAAGATTATGGAACCTGATTTAAATTTTTAAAGATCACTCTATCTGCCATGTGGAGAATGGGGTGGAGAGGAGAGAAGTGCTAGGATGTATACACGATAGTATGTGTACCACATGGGGAGAGTTCTGTAAATCAGAGTGGACTTTCCTGTCACTTGCTCCTAGTCTTCCCACTGCTGCAGTCCACGTGCCTCTGGGCCCTTTCTCCCAACCCAACGGGAGGGTGGGCACTGATCCCAGCAGGAAGGGAAAGGAAGGAGCTGGTTCAGGGTTCAGGGTTGGTGTGAAAACATCACCTCTACATCATTGTGCTGACCTGTTTCTCCCTTCAAATGCTGCTCAGTGCCGATAGTGAGTTGGTCTATGTTGTTTTTGCCCATTGGGGTCAGAGATAAGAAGAAATTGGCATTTTACCAGCTCTTTCCAGTTATTCAGGCTGAATCCTGTTTCTGATATTTAAGGAGTCCTTTTGGCAAAAAAAGAAAAGAATATTCTATCTTCTCTACTAAATCACATCAACAGATATCTATTGAAAGTTGATTCCATTTTAGGTTATTGTGTGAGCTTTTTCAAGATGTAGTGAGAAATCATGATTTTATTCTTTGACCAAACTCTTCTTACAACTCCAAATAGCTACAACTCCAAATAAGAATTAGTCATTTATTTTACAGATACACATGGAATATTTATGAATTATTAACTCCATGACAACCTTAAGATGCAGGTTCTATTGTACAGAAACTAAAACACACCAAGGGCTCATAAGCAGAATTCAGACCATGCGATCTATCTCCAAAATCTGCGCTCTTAACTCCTGTATTTTGTTACCTCTCCACTGAAAAATTCTGTTGGCAAAAAGGCACTGACTCACTGTACCAGTTTTTCTGTCTTCTTTTAAATTTTAATTTCCAAATTCACTCACTTGGCCTGCACAGAGAAATTCTACAGGGCTCCAATGTAGTTTGGATATGAGTATCAAATGCTAATGGTGACTTTTTGTTTGTTTGTTTCAAAGGATTATTGGGACTTTGCAAAATTCCGCTGAGTTTTCAGAAGCCTTTCACTGCCGCAAGAATTCATACATGAATCCAGAAAAGAAATGCCGGGTCTGGTGATCTTTGGAAGAAGTAGTGCAGCCCTTGGCGAGACTTGCCAACACCGCAGAAATGGGGAACTCTCTAGCAGGGAGAAAATGGGCCCTGGGAGTCAGGAAGTGACTTGGGGTAATTAACAGAGATGAGAGCATCATAATACAAATGAAGTTAGATTATTCTAGAAAGGCTGTGGAGGGAGGAAGAGGGTCTAAGGTCTATTAATCACTTCTCACTGTGTAAATAATGCTTAATTCTAAAGAAAATATTACTGTTCATTTCTGTTTCCTTTATGGTTTGCCAGTTTGATGTTGTCCCTAGAAAACAATGTTAACCACTTGAGGTTAACAATGGGATTAGTAAAAATGAGTGAAATCTACTGGGATTTCTAATCCAAAGTAAAAGAAGGTGTTGAAGAATATGTTTGAGCACCTGAAGCACAGTGGTGAAGTTAGTTTAAAACACATTGCCTAAGTACTTGTTTTCACTTTTGTTTGCAGCATCTATACTCCTTCAAATCCCTTCCAAAGAATTCTTATACACATTGGGGCCTTGGGGCTTATATAGTTTTAAACTCAGTTTGCCATGCATCAGTTATTCATTCTGTGATTATTTTATTTTAAGTATTCTTAGGGCAAAAATGAAGGTCTAAAATTGATTTTTGTTGTCCCTGCCTTCACTAATATTGAGATTCTTGAGGCCCCCTATAATTTTCTAAGCAATTTCTTGCTCTCTCTCTCTCTCTC